TTTTTTATGTAGTGTCTATAAATGTGTGCACACAATTGTATGTTAAAAAAAAAACTGAAACTACTTACGTGAAAAGCCAGATACAAACATGAAGACACAACAAAGAAAAAAAATTGTATTGCAACTTCTGACACCGCAAATCGGTAACGCCTTATACATCTATGTCCCACCGTCCCACCGTAATAACAAACCAAAACGTAAAACGAAATGGGTTTTCCATTACTATTTTTTATTTTTCTATGATTAGTTAATAAAGCTTTAATTGGCATTCCAAAAGTTCTTAAAACAACCATTTCTTTGCCTATCAGATTCCTAGCGGAATCTTTCTTAAGCACTGCTGGGATTGAGAAAAGAAACAAATAAAACAATACAACTATTTATTCGTTTTTTTTTAAATTTTTACCTATTGAATTACAATAAAAATACATTCTGTACATGCAACAAACAGTGTATTATTTTATGCATGATCCTAAAGTTTGTCAATAGTAAAAAGTTTCAAACCCTCCTTAATCTGTTAATTAAATACTACCTACAATTTCAAAAAGCCTTGTTATACAGATCCAAAATGTTACTTGTCTCGCTAATTTAAATCAATGTAAAGTCTGTAAACAGTAACATAATATATTTGTCAAAATAAAATATGATACAATATATAATTTCTGTCAAATAAAATTAAATGAATCGTTAAATTCACAAAACAAGTCATAAAATAAAATGAAATTTTAGTGACCAGTCTTACAGTAAATGTTCCGCCTAATATTACTGACAACTTAAGATTTATTGTTATTTAAAAATAAAAATATTATTAAAAAGAAAATGGTTGTAACACTTTTACATACTCTCCTTTTTGCCTCTGGAAGATTTTTCCCCGAATACCAAGTTCCAGAAGAAATAGGCGACGTATATTATGAGAGAGCAGACGTACAACGTTACAGCAATGCGTTTGAGAATCTTGATCGAATTCTTCTTTTTAAGGCATCTCTTCAATTCCGGAAAACACTGAGTTTCAGTATTCACTTGGTCAAGTTCCAAATGGAGGTCTTGATTTAACACCTCCTCAGTTCCCCTGTCATCACTATCAATTTTCACAGTTTCATTCAACACTTTTTTTACGATTTTGCCTTGTTTCTCATCAGTATTCAAATTGTATTCTTGAGCATTTGTAAATGAAGTACTTTGTAAATGAAGAACTACCACCATCTTGATGCACTACTTATTGTGTAACAGAACACCTTAGCTGTTGACCGGCTATTGTCGAATGAGGGATTGTATGTACCTCAACAAATGAAATATGATCTTCGCAATAATTGATAAACGCCAGTCGCTCACGTCACTAGAGGCCATATTCTGTACTAATCTTCCCGTAGAAAATTATAAACTCTTAAACAAAAAAGTTGCAATGTAAATTGAATTTCTACTTGAATACTATCAAAACAATATCAATATACTGTATATACACTATATTTATATATATACTTCAGTGAAATACATGCATGTGTAGTTAGATACCCAAGCCTTCTGATAAGTTAAAAGTGAAAGAAATTTGACTGTATTACATCACGTTTAATCTCCGATAGCTACATGATTGCTAATGTATTTGTAATCAAAACAACTTCCATTTCCATTTCTTCAGAGCTATAGTTTTTAGCAAAGAAGGGGCCTAAGTTAACAGCTGTATATATTAAATGAAAAATATTAAAATAGAAATACATAATCGACAAAGAAATATTACGGAAACTAAATTGTTGGACTAAATTTACGGAAACTAAAATGGAAATTAAATTATTATTAAGTACTCGTCTGTGAGTGAATACGTTATTCAGAAGTGAATGGGATTAAATTACAAAAAATATAAGTGCAAAATATGTAATTCTACTAAATTTGCAAAACCGTGCAATGACGATATAATAATATAACAATTTATAACAAATTGTCATCAATCAATCAATCTAATCAGAACTAAAGTCATATACGGTTTGGCAACTATTTCAAGCAACAACTCGTTTTATAGCAACTATTTCTGTATAATACTATTGAACTTATAACAATAAAATTATTATTTTATTGAAAAGTTGCGAAATAACTGTAGGCGAGTTGCGGATTCATCTTTTTATCTAGTCTAGACAAAAATATTGCGTTTTTGGCAAGCTTGTCTTATCTGAAAGTTAATAGTTTCTGAGATACAGGATGTCAAAGTGTAAATAAAATTTTCGTTTATTTGACCAAAGACTTCAACAATTATTATTTTATAATAATTGTTTATATATTATTTTATAATAATTGTTGAACCTGAACTTCTCGGACTCAATACATTTATTAAACATTTTAATAACTGACTGAAGTGTTCTGTGTCTTCTGCAGCATTTCAAATAAACTAGAAGAATATTTCTTCCAGTTTTACCTGACACCTAACTGATTTTATCCTTGGCCCACTATAGAAATCTCAGTTTACGTCAATTTTAGGGATCCATAGGTTTTCCATCCATTTAAGATCATTTGAGTTCACACATCAACATCACTAGAGGTTTCAATGTGAAACATCTCGAAGACGGTGAGAGATATCGACTTGAAACAAGTACACATTTTGTGTCTTGAAAATAGCGTAGAATGAAATATGACCAATGAAAAAACTATTGCCGTTCGCGCCCTGTAGGACCTACAACTAAGTGCCTAATAGGAAATTGGAACTTGTCATTCTAAAATACTCCTAAAAGCATTGTTTTATTCGTCATAGTAAAACTGGTTAAGAATCTATTAAAAATAAACGAAAATTTTATTTTCACTTTTACACCCTATATGTCGGAAACTATTAACTTTCAGATAGGACAAGTTCGTCCTAAACGCACTATTTTTGTCTGGACTATATGGCAGTAAATTTTGTGCCATTAGTTGAGGACCAGCCTGTATATATTATAAAGTATTCTAAAATTGAATATTTTCAAGTAAATGAATTGCCTTTCAAAATACATATTTTTTTAAATTTGCATGGCTGACTTTCAGTCACACAAAATGTAAAAACCTACATGCTTTTCAAATTATCATTTGCAAGCAGAACATTCCTAAAAGAACTAATTAGTTTGAATCCGGCCCTGTAGACGGTTGCCGCTTCCGCAGCCCAACACTAGTAACTTCAAATAATAAAATTTATTTATTTTCTTTAAATCAAATGCTCGCAGTTCTACGCTACATAAGTTTTTTTTGTAAATACATGTATAGTTACAGAATGTTTCAGAAAACTTACAATAACTCTCGAACTATTGCAGCTATCTGAAACTTGAGTAAAAGCTTCGTATAAAAATGGAAACGAAAACATTCCGAGCTGGACAGTGTTCAACCTTCAATAAAATCTTTTGGTTTTGTATATACAGAATACAAATGTGTGGTGAAAAGAACATGTTAATACAAAACTAATACTACATATCTGTTAGTTGTTGGCTAAAATGTTTAATGTTTTTTTTAAATCAAATGCCTTTATCGTGCTGTAACAAGTTTAGTTTTATAAGCATACATGGATACAGGATGTTTAAAAAAAACAATGTTCAAGCAAAAAAGTTTATTCTTTTGCTAAATGATGTTCATGTAAAAATAAAATCATTATTATTTTTACTGACAGTAAGTTCTTGCGCAATATTCTTAAGGCACTAGCAGTTTTTAGAAAAGTTTCTTTGGCTTTAGCTCATACAACTAAAACAATAGAAATATTGCCAAATAGCTTGATACGTTTTTGTTAAATTTTTACACATTAAAATACAATAAATGATAAGAAAATTAAACATACAAGTAACAAATAGTGTTGTTTAACAATATTTTCAAAGCATCTTTACTCTGTTAATTTAATGCCGCCTACAATTTCAAAAGGCCTTGTTATACAGATCCAAAATGTTACGTCTTTCCGTCCGTCTTTCGTAATTTAAATTTTTTTTAATACAAAGTCTGTAAACATTAATATGGTATTATAAATTTTGTCGAATAATATAAAATGGATCGTTAAACTTACAATGCAAGTGAAAGTTACAAAAACATATAATTTTAGTTACCCGTCTTACAGCAAATGTTGTTCCTAATTCCAAATATTATTGAAAACATAACGTCTTATTTTTTAAACATAAAAAATATTTTAGTAAACAGAAAATCTTTGCAACAATTTTACATACTCTTCTCTTTGTATCTAGCAGATTTTTCCCCGACTGCAAGGTTCCAAATGTAATATGCGGCGTATAAGAGAGAGCAGAAGTAAATCGTTAGAGCAATGCGTTTGAGATTCTTCATAGATTTCTTCGTGTTAAAATATCTCTTCAATTCCGGAAAACACTCAGTTTCGATTTTCACTTGGTCAAGTTCCAAATGAAGGTTTTTATTCAGCATCTCCTCAATTTCCCGATTGTCAATGTCAATTTTCACAGCTTCACTGAACATTTTTTTTACCGTTTTGTCTTTTATGTCGTCAATGTCCAAATTGTAGTTACGTACTTGGGCATTTGCAAATGAAGTACTAAGAATAACCACCATCTTGTAGCACTATTAATGCACTAATTATGTATTAGAAACACCTTAGCTGTTGACAGGCAATTGTCGAATGAGGAATTGTATGCACCTCAACAAATGAAATTAACTTCGCATTAATTGATAAACGCCAGTCGCTCATGTCATTAGAGACCATATACTCTACTAATATTCCCGTAGAAAATAAAGTAAAGGCAGAAATTCTCAAACTATGAAATTGCAATGTAAATTCTATTTCTACTTGAATACTATCAACAATATTAATATACTGTATATACACCATATATATATTTGAGTGATATACATGCACGTGTAGTTAAACATACAAACTTTGTAAGAGGTCAAAACTGAAGGAAATTTGGCTGTATTACATCATGTTTGATCTCCAATAGCTACATGGTTGCTTAATATAATTGCAACTATAATAGCTTCTATTATCGATTTCTTGAGCGCTATAATTTTAAACAACACGGAGGGGCTGGATTAATGAAAATACATAAAGCTAAACGGCTATATATTTCAATGTAAAACATTAAAATACAGCAACATAAATGACAAGTAAAATCCACGTAAACTAAATTATTGTTACTTGTCTGTGATTGAATACATTATTCTAGATGAAATGGTTACATTTTATAAAAATATAGATTTTCACAAGTTAATTTACACATGTTTATGTAAATACTAACTAATTTATATGCGCCAAAAATCTGATTTACACCACACTTGAAACGAATACAATAACTATACAATAACATAGAATTGTAAAAAAAATTTCTGTCAAGCAAAAATAACAACGGTATAAAATTGAGAAAATCCATTTCAATTTGCTCTTCCAGCAGATAGGTATAAATCAGATCCGTTTCATAGTAAATATTTGTATGTAATATTAATATCAATAATCTTGCATGGCATATATTTCAAACATTAATAATATTTTGTTAAAAATAAAATGGTCGAGAGCAGGTTAGATTTTATTCTACTTGTTCCTCGAGGATATAGGCCACAATTTCATTTCATGCCCAAATAAAACATCCACATTAAAATTACGATATATATAATTAGAGGACAGTTTGAGCAAATATCAAAAATTAAATTAATTATAGTGGTCCCCCATCTCGCAGCCGTAAAATACGACTTTTCCTCCACTAAACATTCCCTGTTATTAAGTTCAATAGTTACAGATTCAATGAACAATTTTTTTGTGGTCTTGTCTGGGACATAATGACTTTTTAAATTCTTAGTATAATTTTTGTTATTTGCGATCGGAGCTTCTTGAATTCCCTCCATTTTAGAAACTTTCTATTTAGCTAACGCTTTATAGGCAATCCTTCTAAGATAAATATCCTTCTAAGTAGATCCGTTTTTGCCTATTGAAGATTGTAGGATCCTTGAGAATTAATATTATGCTTACATTAATTAATAAACCGAAGATGGTGTTAACCCTCCAGTAGTCCTGAAAAGTAAAAAATAATTAATTTAGTAATCTTGAAAATAACGATCCTTTATTGGGAGAGTTGATAGGTTTGAATATATTCAATTGTTCCCATAATATAAAATAGAAATGCTGATATTTTTTAATTTTTCATAACTGGATGTTTAAAATTATATGATATATTTTTAAATAACATAATAAACAGCTTTCAAGAATGACACTTAAATACGTAATAAGTATACGATGGATCTTTTTTAATATATTATTAATAAATTCAAAACAGTTGACAGTATAAATAAAGCGTTTCTACGGATTTCCGTAGAAATTAAGAGGCGGTGTCAGGCAAATGCAAGTAATTGTAGAAAATTGCAGTAGCGCAACTAATGTAGGAGAAAAAGTGTGCATTTAGTTCTTGAGCAATATGAAGCTATTTACGTGATATGATTAGGAGTAAGTTTCCTTGTTTGGGAAACATTGGGAAAAGTTCTAAAAAAACTGTAACCCCATCAAATAAAATGTTTCATTGGTATTTTTTTTTAAATGTCAATATTAAAATTAAATGACTCAAATCTGAATTTCACCGATCCGACAATCCGATCTGAAAATTCACGAAATTATAATTATAAAATAATGAGAAAAAAGTTATGACGAAATAAATTAAGATGCATACATGAACGAGTCACAAAATCTCAAAGATCAGATTAATTTCCCAGGTGATTGCAGCGCCAGAATTCCAGAGGCTGATTAGCCATAAGCCCTTGCAATGACGAGGAAATATTTTTTCTTGAAAAAATACGAATCAGTTTTATAACATCATAAGAGCTTTAAAATGTAATAAAAAGCAGTAATTAAACTATCCATATTGGACTAAGTGGTAATAGGACACAAAATCTCGACTAAAAAAACCGCACATATCCTCATAATTAATAGCGTATTTGAATTTGAGTTCTTAGTAATAATTGGTTACCTTTTAATGCTAGTGGTTCAATCAATCAAACGTGTTTTAAAATATAATAACTAACTTTTCTTACTTCTATAGGTATTTGGTTTAAAGTTTCGCAGAAGAAGTACATAATTTAAAACTTACCAACTGTATAAATATAAAGTATTATACTTTATCTGCGACCTGATGTTGCTAACTGTGTAAAGCGTCTTCACAGAGATGTTAAAATTGATATTCCAAGAAAAAATCCTTTTTTTAAATTCTTATCTTACAATTTTTTTCCCATTATCTATGCGATAAGGAAACATGGCAACAGGCATCTATCGTATTAACCAGGTCTGATTTGGAATGTATTAGATTTTACGGCATATATTATTTATTTTGGAAGAGGCTTTAGTAAATATTACTGAGATTGTTAGTATGAGACCGAAAATGTACTACGTTCTTTTGTATTCTTAATTGAATAATAACGTACATTTTACCTTTGAAATATTATAACTATCTTTTTGAAGCAGCATTTGTAACAGTTTTCGATTTTCTGAATTTTTTTTGAAAGAACGGTTTAAGTAGTAAGAAAGCACACTTGGCTAGTAACAAAAAACTAGTTGTCCTTAATCTAAAAGTGGTTATATTTCTTTTATTATTTGAAGGTATAATGTAGGTACAATAATAAAAAATTGAGATCATGTTTTTTTCTTCCATTTAGTAGCCCATATTTTGAAAACAGATATTGTAAATGCAATAGAATTGCAAATTATCGCAGAGAGAAAAATATAAATCAAATGTAAAGTTGATTAATATATTTGAAAAATTACTTTTTATCACTATAGATATTCTATATATTGACACCGTATTTTGTACCTACAGTGTCCCAATCATTATTCGTTTGATTGCTTCCTGTTGAACTGTACATTTTTTGAACTAACAAATCTTGTATTAAAGTATGTATTCTTGAGAATGTTCTTTTCCAAAAATACACTTTAATACACGATTTGTCAATTCATTTTATCCAGTGTGTACACACCAGTTCCGCTAATGTTTTTCAAATGTATTTTAATTTCATTTTTATATTTCCATTACAGGATTGAAAATAAATAATGTCAGTAATTTTGACATTAATTTGTTATAATTTCTATTAATTATTGGACCTGATTATTCTGAACTGTTCCTAGATTCTATTTAGGTTTCTGAGATTCCTCGAAGTGAAGAATTTAATATTTTTGTCCAAACTTGGAAATGGAACGAGCAACACCTAACTTTTTCCAAAAAGTATTATTTTCTGACGAATCAACTTTCACTCAAAGTGGTAGCCCAAATCGTCATAATCTTCACCATTATGCAAGAGAAAATCCCAAATTAGTGAGATCAGTGAATACTCAACGACAGTGAAGTGTCAATGTTTGGGGTGGTATTATGGGTGACTTTATAGTTGGGCCACATTTCTTTCAGGGACACTTGAATGGTGCCGCATATTTGCATTTTTTGCAAAATGATTTGCCTCAACTTTTGCAGAACATTCCTGCCCATTTAAAGGAAAATATGTGGCTACAACATGACGGTGCTCCTTCACATTTTGCATTAACTGTCAGACACTATCTTAATCGTAAATTTGAATATAGATGGAT